GAACCACAATACCGACAAGTGATTAATAAAAGTCAAAAGACCAAAGAGGTCACCTTAATACCAAAAAAAAAAAATAATAAAAGTTAAAAGATCAAATAGATCATCTTAAAAAAAAAATAAATAAATAAAATAAACAAACAAATAAATATATTTTAGTTTAAAAAATAATTTGCATAATATATTGTTATAAAATAATTTATTAGTATAATATATTATATTTTTAATATTAGTTATAAATATTTATTATTATATTATTATATATTGTTAGTAATGATGTAAACATTTCTTAAGATAGTGAATACTCATGACATTATAACACAAAGGTTGTATTACCTTAAGGTCAAATTGCTGTTATGCCATCTGTGGCAATAGAGTAGTATATTATAAGTAGTATAGTGTGCTGTAAGTGAAAGTACTCCAGTGGCACTGACAGATTTTTACTAATCAACAGCAATTGATCAATTAGATTACAAGATTAGATATAATGTAAAATTAAAATAAAAAATTAACATTTTTTAAAAAAACTTCTATAACTCAAAATTTCATCTATGTAACCATTTTCTGTGCTTTAGTAAAAAAATTTTCTTGCAAAATTTTAGTATAAAACATATATCATTATAATTATAAATTTGACCTGATGTACTGTTTTATGGCTTTAAAAAATTGTTGATTAGTAAAAATCTGTCAGTGCCACTGGGGTAGTTCAATAATGCCAAGGCATAAGATTGATTTTACTGTTATATAATTTTCTAACATATGCCAGCCAATCAAAGATCAGAATTAGATATAATGTAAAGAAATTCAAAACAAACATTTGCTTTGCAAAAATTACATTTATCTCAAAATTTAGTCTAGTAAACTATTTTTAGAGTCTTAACAAAAAAATTCTCTTGTGTAATTTTGCTATATTATCAGCCTTTCTAACCTTACTCTAAACTCTAACTCAAATATAAAAGAAGTTTTTAACTTAGCAGCATTTGTCTTCCAAGAATCATGTGATAGCAAAATCGATCATGCATTCTGTCAAAATTAGAGCAGTTTTGTAAGTAGTATAGTGTACTATAAGTGTAGTATGCTGTAGTATGTGTAGTATGCTATAAGTAGTTTAGTATATTATTATTGGTGTAGTAGTATTGATATACTATGATTGCTATAAGTAATATATATATAATAAACAAGTTAATTATTTTCAAATGAAACTTACTGTTAAGTCAACTAATTGAAGAGGTAATTAAAAACCTTTTACTAAATATGTATAACTTTAATCACTTATTCAAATAAATGCTATGTATTACTAATTTGGATAAAGTTAAAACATGAATTATAATAAGAGTGATTTAATAAATAGAATACTTAAAAAAATTTATAATGATGCTAATATCTAATAATATATAATATAATGTTATAATTAAGTTGAAATTGTTTAATATAATTATTAATAGCCTTATTTTTACTTTTTTATTCTTGTATTATTTAAGAATTGTATAATCAATATATGTATCCTATTTAATTATATTGTACAAAATTAGAAAATTTGACACATCAAATTTTTTTAATTTGAATTAGTGTTAGATATACATATGTATTTGCAGTTTAAAGCAGAAGTTGTGTTTAATACAAATATTAATATTTTTATTGCAATTTGTCCATCTATGTGTAATTCTCTAAAGATCATATAACTACAGTTCATTTTTGTAATAAGCTCTAATAAAAATAGTATATAGCTTAATATAAATTATTAATAAGTTCATTATAATGTATAGCAATAATAAAATAAAATAAATATTTACCTATTTTTAAATACAGTTATCATTATAATTTTAATATATATATAATAAATCAATTGTAATTTAATAATTATTTTATGAATAGAATTTAGCATTTATTATTTTTTATTAGATTAAGTACAAACTATTTTACTCATTTTGCTTTTCATGTTTTAAAAAATTATTTAATACATCATAGGGATCATAATCCAAATCAGTAGGTGAGATAGTATAAGCTGTTTCTACTACAGAAGATTCTGAATTTTTAATTCCCAAATCAATAATTTCCTCAATTAACAAAGTTGTAGAATAGTCAGATGTTATATTATCTAATGAAATCTCATTATTGACACTTATTTGATCTTTTTCATAGCCTATAATTAGGGATAATAAAAAAACAGTTTAAACCACTTTTTTATCTGTTTAAAACATATAATAATTAAAGTTTGAATACTGGATCAAATAATGATCACCTGTTTTTTAATTTATTATTATCTGTTTTTAATTATATAATAAAAAACTTTTGTTATTTCTACCTATAATATTTCTAACTGAAGACATATTGCATGCACATTAAAGATCAGCCTTAGTCAATTCTTTACTAAAATAGCTTAACTTATACTAGATGTTTGTCATATAATATAATCTAATTATAGCTATTCCTTCTAATTTTTTTATTTCCAGATTAGTTCAATGATCTTCTAAAATCTATCTTAACATTGAGAAGTTTCTTTTACAACTTGCTTGTATAAAATTAATTAAAAAATTTCTATAAACTAATTCAGCTAAATGCTGTAGTTGATTTTTAAAAGACCTTTATCAAATTTTTGAAATGTCTGTATCCAAAACATAAGAAAGGTCAAATGGTGGCAATTATGCTTCAAATCATCACATTTGTGCAATTAGTTCTTTATCTTCTGACCAAGTATATCCAAAATTTTGCCAAAGCTCAAGAGATGTAAGAGCTGCTTTATGAAACCCACTATCTTTTACACATATTTCTAAAAAAATATAAAATATATAATTTTTTAAAATTATATATGTATATATATATGTGTGTATAAAATTTTGAAAATTTCTGTTTACACATAACAATTTCTATCTTGACTTTTTATCAGTCAAAAAATTGCCAAATATGATATCATATATATGTATATATATAAATATTAATAAATATTACAATATTATTATTAAAAAACTGCTACATCTGGCTGAGTTTTCTAAGTTTCAGTTAAACACTACCAGAAAAAAAGCAGCTTCCAGCATTCAGAAATTTTGTGTCCTGGTATGTATTTGTATATGTATACAAAAACAAGGCATTAACTAAGAATAGAATAATACTTGCCTTTATCACTATATTATAATATTTAAAGTATATACAATATATGTAAAATTAGAGGTCTACAAAACTTGTTCTCTTATTTAAAACCTAATTCTGTAATTTAGTTATGCATACCTCTATATTGTGAATGAATGTAATATGCCAAAAAATAAAATAAATGTAAAAATCTTCATATTGTTAATTAAAAATATTAATTGCAAAGGTCTTAAAAGTGTTTATTTTAGGTAAGCATTTATTAGCAACAGCTAACTCAATTAGATATACAAAACAATTAACTAATGTTGCTTTATTAGCTTCTAATGCATAGATGTTTTTTTAATAGACTGCCAAATAGAATGTACTAGTTGGCATATTATAAAAAAATTCTTGGCAGCCATTAAACTAGCTATTTCTTAATTTGTTATTGCCTTCTTATGCTTAAAAAGTAACTAAAAATAAATTTATTTATTAATAACAATAATAATAATAAAATATAGAAAGACCTCTC